TGTTCCTTCTGCCTGGGAGCACTTTCCTCCTGTTTTTGTGTATCTGGCACCTATGTATCATTTAACTCAAGTGTTACCTTGTCAGAGTGACCCCTCCTGATACCCCATTCCCTGCCCCATTCTGCTCCTCCCTAGACCCTCTTACTTTTTTTTTTTTTAAAGTAAATCCTGTGCCCAATGTGGAGCTCAAACTCACAACCTCGAGATCAAGAGTCTCATGCTCCACCGAGCCAGCCAGGCGCCCCTAGACCCCCTTACTTTTCTTCATACCACCTGCCAGGTAGCCAGAAGTTTGCTGTTTCTGTGTTTGCCTATTTATTGCTGGTGTCCCCCCACTGCCACATCAGTCCTGAGAGCAGATTCTGGCTATTTTCGTGTTCCACCATGTCCTAGGACCTTGCCAGTGCATGATAGGAATCTAAGATGGAATCATTGCTGGAATAAATGAATGGGAGATGTTGGGGGATAAACAACAGAGGCATGGCTAACTCCTGCTGCAGCTGCCAGCCCGGAGCATCCTGAGCTGCCCCAGCTCCACGTGCCCGGTCCTGAACTCGTCCCCTTTTCCTCGCCAACACCGATTCCATCTTTCTCAGAAGCGCCACCAGAGCAGAACCCTCAGAAACAGGCTCGCGCCCCATTGCCTGTTGGTTCTCCTCCGAAATATCTCACCCCATTGCTGCAGCCTGAGTTCCTTCCCACATGGGCTCTCATCTGGATCATTCGAGCAGCTTCCCAACTGATCTCCCTGCCTCCAGGCCAGACTGCTGCCAGAATGCTTGTTCTTTACAATGCAAATTTGGTCACATCATTCCGCATTAAAAACCTTTCGTGCTTCCCATCAGTTATAGGAAAAAATCGGAATTCCTTACTCAGGCACTTGAAAGGGCTTCATAATCTGGCTTCCTGCCTTCTTTCTCTAGCTTCACCTCCCATACTCCCCAGTTTGCCAGACCGGATCATTTGTGGTTCCCTCAACACACACCTCCCTTCTGTGCCTCCCAGCCTTTGCAAGTGCTGATCTCTGCTCTCACAGGGCTTGTGTCCACCTGTGAACACTTGCTTTTCCTTTAAAACTCTGCCCATGACATCACCCCTTCAGGGAAGCCCACCTGTATTGTGATTGTTTACATGTGTGTCATTTTCCCTAGATTGGTGGTTCACAGACTTGAGGGTGCACTGAAATCACCTGGAGGGCTTGTTAAAACAGATCGTTTGGCCCCATCCCTGCAGTTTCTGGTTCAGAAGGTCTGAGAATGCGCATTTGTAGCAGGTCCCCCGGGGGGTGTTGGTGCCGCTGGTCCAGGCACTACAGTTGGAGAACCAGGGGTCTAGATTGAAAACTCATCCAGGGCAGGGGAGACATAGGGTGGCCGTAAAGTCTGGAAACATAGACAATATCATTTCATTACGTATTGCCACGAAATGTCACAAGCTATTATGCTTTCACGTCTGTTCCCAGACTCGGTGGCCACCCCATGCGTCCGGAGCGTCAGGGGCCTCTCCGAGAGCTGAGCTTCACTACATGGTCTCATTCGGTCCCCACCACAGCATTATGAGGGAGCTGCTATCATCCCTGACTGTTTTAACAAGGCAGGAGAAAACTGAGACTTAAAACTGAGATTTAAAACTGAGTAAAAAAATGTGTTCAGTGTCATGAAGCTTGTAGGAAGCGAAGCTGGGATTCAGCCCCATGTCTGCCTGATTTCGCAGCCTGGGTGCCTAGCTTAACGCCACAGCTGCCTCGGTGCCGTGCTCAGAATGGGGCCGGGGGGTGGGGTGGGGGGGGGTTGTTCCAGAAACCCTGACTGCCTGAGGGAGGGAGGACGGATTCGGCCCCTCATTTTCACAGTTCCCTGCATGATCCATTCCCTACAAAGGTTTGTGACATTGGGTTGGTGGGTGAGTTAGAAACTCTGACGACCCCGGATGTGGATTCCGAGAGCTAACAATAAAAGTCAGGTACACAGACAACTGGAGAAGCTATTTCTTTTCCCTTCTCAAATTTCAATGAGCCAGCGTTGACACTTGCCCAGGATCAGACGAATATGATCAGTGTGTGTCAGTAAGGCCTGCCCCTCACGGTGTTTGGGAGGTGATTCTCGTGGTACCCACGGTGTCATGGCTCAAGCGTGATGCGGTTTTGAGGGTGTCTTTTACAGGTGGGTGGTGCAGAGAGAAGAGAAAAAGCCGGGTTAAAATGTGGGGGAAACCCCGGCAAGCCTGTGTGCATGTACCACATCGACCCAGTAGAGGGCGCCAAAGCACACAGGATCGGCCCCAGGAAGGCCTTGAAGCCTTCCTGACCCACAGCCGCTCCAGGGCCATCTCCACCATCCTCCGCCACATCTCATCCACTGTGGGTCTGGTAGACTTCTTTCAGACGCTTAGAGATCTGGGTACGTTACACCCATTCCTGATTTTCTCTGGCCCCTGGCTCCTCCCCCGCTTCCTGCGAAAGCAGCTGGCTGCAGAGTTTGCCAATTCTGTCTCCAAGGAATGCGGCTCAGGGGAGGGAAACCCCATTTTGCAGATGCAATAAACTGAGGCCCAACAGCCAAATAACTTGTTCCAAGTCGCTCGGTTGGTAAGGGGTAGAGCTGGGGTTGGAACTCAGTAGGCCCTCAAAGGTAGCTCACCACAGGGAGCTCCCTTTTCTCTCCCCAGTTGGTTCACTCTGACAGAGAGGGGAGGGGGGGCCCGTGTGGACATGGCCGGGGTGAGGCATGGGTAACACATGTCTGAGGGGCAACAAGCCCATCAGTTTCACGGCCGCCTGGACTGTGATGACATTCAAAAGGCCGGGAGGCCCGGGTGTTTAGAGACTGGCAGTGACCCAGAGTTTTGGACTTTCCCCTTTGAGCCCCGGGGGCATGGATTCTTAGGGCGCTTTCTTCCCTCATGCCTCCTCCTCACGCCCTCTCCACCTGAGTGTCACAAAAGTCTTGCTTCTCCACTGCTGGGCTTGCAAGAGAGAGAATGTAGGTTTGGTGAAGGAAGTTTCTTTTCTCTTTTTCTCTTCACCCACCCTTGCTGGAACTCTAAGACCCTCCTGCTGCAATGTCTACCTTACCCTGCTTCCCAAAACAAAGGCCCTGCTCCCCCAAACAAAGGCCCTGCTCCAACAGCAGTCCTCCCTCTGGTCTCTCATGCCCCCAGGGCTGCCCATTTAGCCCAGAGGCATCTGTAGGGCCAGCTCAGAGGATCTGTCTGCAGCCCTTGCCCTCTGTCTGCCAGAAAGGAAACCCTCCCAGCAGGCCCTTCTGTCCGTCTCCTGCCTTTTTCAGCTGCCTAAGGATTGTGGGAGTTGGGGACTGGGGTCCTCATTCCCTTCCCTACCCTGCCTGTCTCCCCCCAGATGCTGTAATCTCTGGTCCCAGCCCTGCTTTGCTCCATTGGCTCCTCAAGGCCAGAGACACCCCCAGAGCCCCTCATCTTTGTTTGGCTGGAAGCCGGCTCTCCCCCTGCCTGCCGTGGGCAGGCTTGCCAAGTCCTGGAGAGCCAGGGCGGGTGGGCTGGGCTTAATCGGTCCTGCCTGGCACTAGGCCTGTACCCAGGATTTCTCTGCCCCTTCAGCTGAGTGCCTTTCTCACAGCCGAGAAACTCAGCATCTCAGCTGGGCTGGGGGAGTGGTGGGGCAGGGACTTAGGCATTTCCCTCCCCTCCAGAGCTGCAGGCAGGTGCATACTGCTCCAACCTGAGATTCTCGGCTCTGGCCTGGCCTACTCTGGGGTTGGAAGGACAGGCCTTGTGGGAGCTCTCTCTGGAGTGTGTGGGACTGGGGTGTGGATCAGATCCCTGTAATGACCCCCCTCCCCACTAACAGGGTTCTTCCTGGACCCTGGAAAGGAAGCTTGTGCTCCTTTCTTTTTAAAGAGAAAGACTTCCGTTGGTTAAATGATGCTTATACTCAGATCACACTGAAAGAGACCCACAGAGAAAGATAAATAGTGCATTGGAGTGAAAAGAAGCTTCATTTTTGAAATCAAGTTGTTGTAATAATAAATATTCAAAAAAGATATAATAGTCAGGTGGGTGAGCCCTTCATCTAGCTCCTGCTTCTTGAACTATTTCTGTATTCAGAAATGACCCCCGGAGCTCCTCTGGTTTGCTGTGACTTCTGGGTCTCAGGGTCAGGTGGGACTGAGACCCCACGAGCCTGCCCGGAAGTTCAGGTGGGAATATTCCATCTTCCTTCCATCTTTCTGATCCTGGTGATGAAACTCAGCCTTCCCCTTGCACTTACCCATTGTCACAGAGAATCTGTTACTGTTCCAGCATCCACAGAAATGTCAAGAGAAGGAAACCGAGCCAGAGAAAGAGAGGTAGAGATTGCGAGAGAGATCTCTTAAGATGGGGCTACAATCCTATTGTCCGAAGCCCTCCCTTCTGCCTCTGAACAAACACAGATACCCCCTGGCTCAGCGGGCATATCCTTGCCCAAGGTCACCGGAGATGAATTTGGGCTGGAGACCTAGGAGGTCCTGGCACCTTGTCATGGGTTCCAACCAGCTGCACACATTATTTTTTGCAATTCCTTGTGCTGGGGGAGGGGGTGTGAAGGTGCTAGGGCCCCTGCCAAGCCCTCCTGACACCCAGAGACGTGCCCGTCTCTTGGGTGGAGAGCTGCAGAGACGAAAGGCGCCCACAGGCAGGTGTGCTGAGCCCCCATGATGCCAGGCCCCTGGGCACCTTCTGGTTCCCTGCACTCTAGTGGGAGAACAGCAAACTGCAGCTTACATGGAGGAAGGTGGCCCCAGATCCCCTTTGTGGGGAGGGGCAGCTCTTCCTGGTGGTGGAAGGCCAGGAAGGCTGTGCCCAAGTACTCCATCCTCTCCTGGGTGGGAAGCATGGGTGGTTAGCAGCTTGTCACCGGTGTGGATGGAGTTAAACCTTTCCAGGGACTATTTACTCCTGATCCTAAGTGACAGCTTGGGGAGGGAGAGTCACGTGGCCCTGAAATCCCCGCGGGAGCCCATGGAGCATGCCCAGCTGCTTCTGCCTGGGAAAGATGCTGGATCCTGCAGTTACCACAACAGCATCCTCTCCCCGCGCCAGGGATCTGCCAGCCGGAGAGATGACTGATTAGACCGGATCAGATCCAGAGCCCCGCTCTTCAGAAGGGGGCCCTGAGGGGCGGGGGAGGAGGACCCCAGCTGGCCGGAGCTGGGGGAGGGGTGCTTCGGGGCGCGGAGAGTTCTAGCGTTTCACCGCGGGGCTCACACCTCTGAAGCCGGTGAGTCTGTCCTGATGCATCCTACAGAGGAGGCGGGAGGAGGAAGGCTGTGCTCTCTCTGGTCGGCCTGGCAGCCGCGTGAGTCTGGGCTGCTGACACTGCGGGGCCACTGCCTTCCCCATCCCTCATTCTTGGCAGCCTTACTTGGGGATCATGGATGCTGAGAATGCTAATTATAACCCGCTCTGTGCCCCCACCCCTGCCTCTAGAATTCCCAGTAAGGGCTGATGTTGTTGGAATTTATTACATTTGAATTGCATCTCTTGGGTGAGGCCAGCTTTGGGGCTGCCAGCCTCCTAGGGTCTAGCTGGGCCCCCCCCCCAGCCTGGCTAGAGCAAAGAGGCCAGCCCCACCCTGCCTCTAATCTTGCCAGAAGTGAGTTGAAGGCCAGCAGGAAGGAGAGATGGAGGGAGTTCCAGGAGTCAGGCTCGGATCAGCCCCAGGGACTCACCTCCCTCAATGTGGTGAGGGGTCACGGCATGTGTATTTCATGGGTCTGAGGTTGGGGCCCAGGGCCACTGAGGCTCTTGAATTCCTAGGGGCAGCTGATCTCTGGGATCTCAGATTTAATGGGCAGCACCTGAGGAGCTGAGGACTGGTACGTGGGCCTGGGGGCCCGAGGGGATGGGTTCATAATGGTGGGGTCAGGCTGCCACTAGCAGAGCCTCAGCCTTATTGTGTGAGGTTCTGGGCAAAGCAGCAAGGTGGGGGAGTTGGCAGAGAGGAGTGGTGGGGAGGTAGGGAGGGGGTTAGATAGGAAGGCAGAGGGAGAAGAGAGAAGAGGCTAGAGAGAGGGTCTTTGTGACCACAGGCCAGCCAGAGAAGGGAAGAGAGGGGGCTGGAGCCTGGGAAGGCCAGAGTTGGGAGAGGCAGGACAGAGGGAGCTAGCCCTCGGGTGCAGGGGTGGGGAGGGCTGCAGAAAGGGGGAGGTGGTGGGAGGGGATGGAGTTGGAGTCAGAGCCTGAGCCAGAGAGGGTCTTCTGAGCTCGCAGTTCTTCCCCTACCCCTATAGACCCCTTGCCCTCAATCTGGTGGTTTGGGTGGCTTGCTCCCTGGGGGGGTCTCCTGAATGCCTGGGGGGGTGGGAGCCCTGTGGGCATGTGTCGGCCTGAGCTGGCTGTCCAGATGGCCTTGTCCAGATCGTAGGCACCAGCCTTACAAAGTCCCCCCCAAATCCTGGCTTCCAGGCCCCTCTGGGGGAGCCTGGAGCCGGGGAGGCTTTCTGTGGCCTTCCACCTCGGCGCAGCTGCATTTCAGCTCGGGCAGGAGATGAGCAGATCCCGGTGGTGGAGAGGAGGTGGGAAGGAGGTCCCATAGAGGCACAGCAGGCTCTGGCTCCTGGAAGGACCGGGTAGTGGCCCGAGGCTGGGAGCCGTCTCCTGGTGGGGGCGGCTGGAGGGGCCAGGGCAGGCCTCCTGGCCCCGCCGCTGGGCTCCCTTACAGAAAACAGGTGGCTCTGTATCTGCTCACAAGGGCGCAGAGTGCTGGGCTGCAGATATGAATTATGAAAAGTCCTTGGTTTTCCAATCAGTGGCGAGGTGACAACTGTGTTAGCGCTGGTGTGTAATTAATCCTGGCGGGTGCTGCACAGGCTCGAGACAATGGGGGCTTTTTAAAAAAATTTTTTTGCCAGGTTCAGCTTTTTCCCCATCTTCACAGGAAGGTGACGGTGCAGGACGCATTACACAGATAATTACTTTTAACGTGTCTGCCTAGATTATTGAGTCGGATTCTTCCTGCTTGGTGTAAATGAAGTAATTACGGAGGAAGTCAGCAAGCGGGGCAGCCAGCCCTGGCTCCCAGGCTGACATCGTGGCCTGTCTAGGCCCGGCCTGTGGCCTCAGGGCACGGAAGAGGGAGCTGAGCTGAGAGGGGGCCCAGGCCAGCATGAAGAAGCGTGGTCCTGGTCCTCAGTGCTCCCCTTGCTGGCCTGGAGCGAGGTTCCCCGAAGACACTGGCACCGAGCTTGGCACCTGGCAGGGGCCCGATCCACGTGGGTCCCCCACGGGAGGGTCAGGAGGAAGATGACTGCCGCTGGGCGTCAGGGACAGCTTGCTGAGCAGCGGGGGCTGGGGGTTCTGGCTGCCAGAGGTTTGGCGCAGTGGATTGAGCTCTGGGCTGAGGGGGTCTGGGAGCCAGTGCGTTATTAGTGAGATGACTTTAGCAGGCCAGTCTCCAAGCAATTAAAAAAAGAAACAACATTTAGAGAGGAAAGAACGGTTTGGTTGGGAAACATTTAGAAATAAATGTGGAACAGAGACGGAGAGGCCTCGAGGCAGGCTGAGTGGGGTCCTTCCCTTGGCGGTCGATCGGTCCAGGTGGGCTCCTGCTCAGCACCCACACCTCCCGATGCCCCCCAGAGACTGTCTGGGCCAGCCTCCCTCCAAGCCCAGACGAGCCCTCTGTTCCCTCCCTGCTGGGAGCCCCAGCCTCCGGCGACGGGGAGCTCATTACCTCACCAGGCAGCCTGCTCCATGGTTAGAACATTCTTCTATATGGAATCAAAATCCGCCCACTTCTAAGGCCTGCCCTTTGGTTCTGATTCTTTGAAGCAGCACAAAACAGTCAGCTCTCTTTCCCGTGGTGATAAAGATGGTTTTCTTCATATTAAAATAGCATATAATAATGTGTGGATGTGATGTATTTTATGTAACCAGTTTTGTATTGGGACGTTGAGGTTGTTACCCTTATTTTCCTTTTACAAATAACACAACATGAACATTTGTGTGCATAATGCCTTTTCTGTGTTTTGGATTCTTTCCTTAGGATAAATCCCAAGACATAGATTTAATGCGATAGAGTATATATGTTAAAAAAATTACGATTCTGAGTTGAAAAATAATACATAGCCATTTAAAAAAACTGAAAAACAGATAGAGAAAGGATTAAAATTGCCCATAATTGTCTCAGAGGTTTGGTATATAATTTTACCATGTTGATACATATATATTTTTATGAATCCATGCATGGACATGTAACTATATTATCACAATACGCATATGTACTATTAAAATTTTGGACCCTATATATCTTTGTCACTTACATAAGTGGCTTCCTAGCGTTTCATTATATATCTATTCTATTTATTTAATTGACCCCCTTGTTAAACTAGGTGTTTCCAGTTTTTTGCTTTTATAAGCAATGCTGCAATGAACATATAAATATCTGAATCTTTGCACATATCAGTGATTTTTTTTCCTTAGGTTACATTTCTAGAAACGGAATTGCTGTGTTTTTTTATTTTTTTGGAAGTTTTTATTTTAATCTGGTGCTCGTCACAAGTGCCCTCCTTAATGCCCACCACCTGTTTCCCCCATCCCCCACCCACCTCCCCTCTGGTAACCATCCATTTGTTCTCTATAGTTAAGAATCTGTTTCTTGCTTTGTCTCTCTCTCTCTCTCTCTCTTTTTCCCCCCTTTGCTCGTTTGTTTTGTTTCTTAAATTCCACATACAAGTGAGATCATATGGTATTTGTCTTTCTCTGACTGACTTATTTCATTAGCATTATACTCTCTAGCTCCGTCCATGTCCTTACAAATGGCAAGACTTCATTCTTTCTTGTGGCTGAGTAATATTCCATTATATATACACACCACCTCTTCTTTATCCATTCATTCATCTATGGATGGGCACTTGGGCTGCTTCCATATCTTGGCTACTGTACAGAATGCTGCTTTAAACATAGGAGTGCATGTATCCCTTTGAATTAGTATTTTTGTATTCTTTAGGTAAATACCCAGTAGTGCGATTGCTGGATGGTTGGGTAGCTCTATTTATAACTTTTTGAGGAACTTCCATACTGTTTTCCAGAGTGGCTGCCCCAGTTTGCATTCTCACCAACAGGAATTGCTGTGTTTTAAAATATTTTGCCATATTTTGCCGAATTCTTCATTGGAAATTACTAATTTACATTCCCGGCCGTTGTGTTCGAGAACACGTTTTCTTATACAAGCATTGAACATTATAACATTGTCATTGCTTTCATCCATCGCTTCATTGTTGTAACATGTTTGTTTGATTAGGAGTGAGATTTAAGGTTTAGTGCAGTCGTCAAGATGGCAGTGACGGGGTTGGGGGCGGGGGATGGAGCGGGGTGGAATTCGGGTTGAATCTAGGCTCTATCACCTACCAGTGATACGACCTTGATAGTGACTTAAATCTCTCTGTGCCTCAGTTTCTCCACTTGTAAGATGAAGACAATGAAGTTACCTATTTCATGCCCCTCTTGTGGAGATAGGCGAGGTCTCATCTATAGAGCAGGTAGAATCACGCCCAGCAGATGGACACATGCGTTTGCTCTTATTATCTTACTGTTGTTGGTGTGTGTGAGAAACACAGAGATCTGAAGACAGTATTAGGATCTCCCTCCCTCCAAGCCCCCCAGGTCTCCTTGTCCTGGGCTAAATGCCCCTCTTCCTCCAACAGCCCCAATTCCTTTCTCAGGCTTTCCTGGAGCCTCATGCGTGCAGTGCGGTCCCACCAGTACAGAACATGATCCCCTGGAATGTCACACTTCTGGGGACTTCTGGCAGGTGCCTGGATGAAGGGGATTTGGCTCTTCATGTGTCTTCTGCGCACAGGACTCTGCCCTGGAGCCCCCTCCTTGTCACATCTCTCCAGAGTGTGCCCTGTTCCTGGGAGCCCTCTCTGTGCTGCCCAAAGTAGCGCTAGTTGATCTGATAAACTAAATCTGGGGTGAGTGTTAATAATAAGAGAGAGTGGGTACGCTGCCCTCCCGGGTTGTGGAAAGAAGGCCTATCTGGAACTTGAAGACATAGAATCAAACCCTGGTCCAAATTAGCAGCTGTGTGATTTGTAGCAAGTTCCTTAATCTCTTTGCGCTTTTGTTTCCTGTTTTGAAAAATGGGGTTAGTATCACTAGCCACTTAACTAGTTGATCGCTAGGAGAGTAATATATATATATAACCGTATATATACATATGGATATGTATATACATATATATTACCGTATATATATATACATATGGATATGTATATA